TCTATAGCTTTTGATGGTTTTTAATGAGTTGAACCCATAAAGATTCAGAGACTCTTGATTCCTTAAGTTCCTGTACCCTGAATACTCTTGTTAATACACAGCGCTACACCTCACCCTCTTGTATCTTTGCCTGCACATGTGGTAGCTTCTGTCTTACCTAATTTGTTTCTGTTACTCCTGGCATTTAGGCATCAGAACATAATTACCTTCTCATTTGTTTTCTCCTTTGGTTCTCCCTTGATCTTTGCTTCTCAAATAACTTCATTTTTGATTATCTTCAGTTTCTCCCCATTTCCATTTTAGTTTCAGTTTTTCTGGATTTCTGTGTGGTTCCTTGTGCCCAGATGACTGGTGCCCATGTCATTAAGGACAGTTGTCCTTCACTGGGGAAAAGTTTCCAGTGTCCCTGAAAGCTGAAGCTTTTTTCTGTCCACAGTGTGCTCATCCCTGTGTTGTGTTGACAGATTAACACTTGTAGGAGATTCTGCTTCAGGGAATCCTGGTTTAGCCGCTGTTCTTCAGTTTCTGGTCAAGTGTTTAGGTTTTGTTCTTGTTGGGAAAGTTTGCTGTTCATTCAAATGTTATTTGTGCCCTCAAATGGGCATAAACTGCAACAATCAGGTTGCCTCCTGCCTTAGCAAGCAATCTGTCGACTCAGTGAACAATATCTGTGGCCTTAGCTCCAAAGAGACAGGAAACTGTTGTTGTTTCACAGTCTGGGGTGCGAGTCTCAGTTGCAGTGTTTTTGAGAGTGGAGTCCACCACCTCTGTGTGGGTTCTTTAAAGTGGAGGGCTAAGTCTTAGGAAGCAACTATGCTTTAAATTTCTTTCTTTCTTTAAATTTTCAACTTTTGTTGGCATTTTAGATGGTTGTGCTCTGACTGAACTAGAGACGTCTCATTGATGTCTGCCTCCCCTCAGTACCCGTCGGTACATCAACAGACCACACTCTGTGAAATCCCATGGACATAGACTTAAATGTAGACGAAGTGACTCTGGCTTTTCTGTTCCTCTGAATTGTTTCTGTACTTTCACATGTAACTGCACTTTGGCTTGCAGACTTCAGTGCAGTCTCAGCGGCTGTCTGAAATGCTGACTCAAATTAAACCCACCAAATGTGCCCCGGATCCTATTCACACACTTTCTCAGTTCTCTGTCCCATTGTCGTGCATATCATTATCATTAAGATCTGGAAGTGTTCCCTAGGCCCTTAAACTTGCAGTAAATATTCCTCTCTCAAAAGAGCAGACTCCAACCTGCTCGGTAATTATAGGCTGATGTGTAACTTTTTTTTGGCAGAGGCTCTAGAACAAGTTGTTGCCGTTCAGTTACAAGCTCACTTATTTGCAAATAAACTGCGTGAGTCATCACAATCTCAGATCAGATCGATGCATGGTACATGAGCAGCTCTTTGGATTACTAATGATTTATTGTTGACTGCTGACTTATCCATTCTTGCCCTGCTGGATCTCAGTGCCTCCTGTTGCCAGTTTTAAATGCATTTCCATGCTATTGGTCAACATCTCTGGGTTTTCTCAAAATCAAATGGTCAAGTTTCCGGTGCTTGTGTGTCAGAACACAACTGAGAACTAACAATGGACATACTACATCAATAAAGGTGCATTTCACATCCACCGTCAACAATTAGCAATTAATAAGAAACGAAAGCTTCGAAATATGGTGGAGTTCCTGTACAATTTTAACAATTGATAGCTGTATTTGGGCTTCTGTCACCATGTGCTACCAGTAAATATTTATTTGAACTTCAACAATGTGGCTGATGATGGCCTTTACACTGCACCTAATGACTTAGTAAGGAGCATGTGCCCAGACGCACTTCGCTTGCTGGATGAGGTCCAGCTGTGGGCAGTCCACCCTACTTTGTGCACGAGGTTGGCTCCAGACTGTCCCAGTATTGTGTTCTAAACAATAAGACCCAGACCCATTGATCTCTATAAACATATTCCTTTGTGGTATTTTCCTAGAATTCTGAGAAGGAGACTCCCAGAGTCAGGAAGCCCTCTGCGTTTCCAAATTTAGAAAACAAGTGACTCCTTTAAGACCCCTGCCAGTCGCAGTCCTGCTTGAGGGCTCAGAGGGGAGATGCTGGCACGGTTGTAGCCCTTTGAAAACAGACAGGACCGTGCCCCTACCCCAGACCCCTGTCGTGAGGTCAAAGGTCGCAGGACTGCAGACAATACAGGAGCAGATTCAGCACTTCCAGCTCCTGCCCACCAAAAGAGCACGGCCAGGCTCCTCATAGTCTTAGTGAGCTTCGGTACTCGGGCTGGAAAATCCTTTGGAAAATGTTCCTTGACTCCAGGGTAGCATGGTCACACGAGAGCCTCACAAGGTAACAGTTGTTTTGATTTAGAGCTGCTCCCTGATTAACAGACTAGTTAATCGTGTGCATTGCAGATGACTTCATCACAAACTGTTTAAAGCTTTGGATTGTCATCGGAAATTATTTAGCATGTGTTTGCTGGGTTGAGATGATCAGGAAAGTTAATCTACATCGTTGAGTTCTGCGCCTCTGCCACTCCTGACACATTGGAGTCTGATTGAAGCACTAGCCAGCAAACACATAAGCCTCAGCACAATTTGCCAACTATATTTTTCAAAAGGTGTCTTTAAAAAAAAGCAATGCACAAAAAATACACAGTGGTAGTCATCCACCGATTTTGTAACCACTTCTTCCAATTCAGGGTCACAGGGGAGCTGGGGCCCATCCCCTATCAAGCAAGGGGCACAAGGCAGGGTACACCCTGGACAGGACGCCAGTCCATTGCAGGACTCACACAGACAGTTTTCCCAGGAGCCAATGAACCTGCCAATATGTCTTTAGACCTCTGCAAGGAAATCGGAGCACCTGGTGAAAAACATGAACAATATACAGACTCCAAGCAGACAGAAATTGAACCCAGGGCACTGTGCCACCGTGCCAACCTTGTAGAGTGCTAATTAGCTACCAAATGGGATTGCATTGCCCAGGTTTTATCGTCAGTGTCTAATGTACGGGCAGAGGGTGGAGGAAGGAAGGGGAAAGAGCTGGAAAGATGAACATGAACAAGCTTGACCCCTGATGTGTTTTTCAGGATTCAACACTTACCACACAATCGAGCCTTTGTCCTGGATTGCTCAAGTCAAACTGCATTTTTCCTAGATCATTGCTTTTAAAGGTCAGAGTCACAGGAGTGAAAAGAGGATCACATCTAGCTATTCTTTTCAATTTACACAATCCCCTTAACACTTCTAAAGAACGCACCTGTTTAAAGAGGAAACAGTCTTGTCTGTGCCTTGATGGTCATGATTCCTTCACTGCGGCACAGGAGCTAAAACACACTGACGTGGATGGTCATGGGATTAAACAATATGATCAGGTTGACTTGAGTCTTAATTGTTTTCCTACAGAAAACCCAGTGACTTTCTCATTCGTCATTCAAACTGTCCAGACGACCAGAGATGTATTTTTTCTTGGAATTATTCCTGGGAAATTAAACACACTTATTAGAAAGAATGAAGAAAAAAAGCATCTTGGAATTAAACTTCACCGTATGCAGCTTAAGTCATTTTAAAGGAGATGATATGGAAATTATGAATTATTATTACATATAATTATATTATCCGTAAGCATAACAAAGATTTCAAATGAGAGGAGGCTATCTGGTCTATCTACCACGTTGGGTCATTAGTAGTTCATTGATCCAATTATGAAGCCAGAGTATCAGCTTCAACAATATGGTGGGATAGCTTGTTCCATACTCCCACAAACCTTTGTGTAAAGGGTTTCCATTTCTCAGTTGTAAATGAGTTTCCGCCTAGCTTCCATTTGTGTCTTCTGTTTTTCACGGCACTAAAATTGCTCTGGCAGGAGAAACAAAAATTAACTTGCCAAACTAGAACCAGTGAAGAAAAAGGATCTTGATTCAGTAAGATAGTTTTTTTATTCACACTGTGAACCTTAGTCTATCTGTCCATTTTCTGTTTCCTCCATTTCTGGATCACAGGGGATCCAGCGCCTATCCTGGCAAGCAGTTGGCATGAGGCAGGATACACCCTGGACAGGACGCCAGTCCATCGCAGGACACACACACAACTTCCCCAGAAGCCAGTTAACCAATCCGTCTGTTTTGGACTGTGGTGAGGAAAACCCACACAAATTTCACCCAGGTACCACCCCAGGTCTGGATCTGAACCCAGAGCCCCAGCACTGCAAGGGAACACTGTGAGCCACTTTACCACTGTGCCACCCAAACCTTAAATCAGGGTGGAGAATGATCTTATGGGATTTTAAAGAGGGGAAAAAGAACTTTGAAAACTGTTGAGTAAATTTAGAAAACCAGTCAGAATACATATAGCGGAGGTCATGAGGTTAGTTCAGAAAGGACACATATCACCGCTGCTTTGCATTCTGTAGTGAAGAAAAATTCTGAATTAAAACAAAAATCAACTAAGCTGCCATTTGCAATTTGTGACTACAGAGTCCATTAAAGTTTTGATTTGTCTGCATTTTGTAGCTCCGAAATGATATATTATGTGTATATGTCTACAGGGCTCTACAAACTGCATGCAAAACGTAGGAGATTAAAGGGATTAAAGTTGGACCATTAGACATGGCTTGGAACTGTCTCTATTAAAACGTGTTTTACTACAAGCATGATGAGAGGGGCCATCGAAGGAAATATTCCAGCAGGTGTCGCTGTAGAAACCTACAAAGAATAAGCAGAGTATCGCGTCTATTCGACCTCCGGTCCAGTAGATGTCGCTAAAGAATTTTCCCAGGACTTTCCTCCCCTCCCCCCCTCCCCCCGGGGAGGGCACATGCGCAGTCAGGTGTGCGCAGAAGTTCTGCTTCTCGTTGGATCAGCTGACTGTGAATGTGATGCTCTCTGGAAAGACCTGAAATGAAAAACTGATTGACAATTATGAATATTAAATTGTAACCATCATTGCCGCTGATTGCCCCGTGGATAAACACACGTTTTCACGCCCGACACGGGTAAGTGTATTATTGTCGTCCTGCTGCTTTCGCAGCGATAAACTGATAACAGCAATGTTGTTTTTGATGTTGCAAGGTGAGGAGGGGTTAATACTTATTATACACAGCATAAAATATTCATTGATTTTCATTCAAGCGAAGGTATTGCAGATTTAGTAAATACCCGATATCATTTTTTTATTTTAGCCTTTTGATGCTTGCGTTGCTAGCCACAGCGAGCGACGAATGGCTGTTTCTTAATGTTGGAGAGGCCGTGCGCAACCCGAGATTAAGGGTTAACGCATCGTCGTCGGTGTGCACCAAAAATGAGATTTTTCTTTTCAAACTCCGAATCTTTTGATATAAACTCCGCATTTCTGTACGTTACCTATTTATCTTACACTTGCGTTTTTTTATCTTTCTTAATTTATACAGTTTAAGGATAGCCTTAAACGACGGTTTAATATTGAAAGTACAGATTTGTTAGGTGAAGAGCACAGACGTACAGCTACAAATACCATTGCTCTTGCTACCGCCAATAAGCACAGCGTTCATAGTCGTCTTGTGGGTTTTGTCAGATAGGATAATGCTCTGACGCGAGATTTTTGGGGAAGTGAAAAAAATCTTAAGTGTTGCAAAAGTGGAATCCTAGGATGTCAGCCTGAAGTGTGCTTTCTCATTTAACAAACATCTAGGCCTGTCAGCTGGGTCTCAAGAAATGGTTTTAATCACCATCACTTCCAGGCATCGCTTCTCCAGTTCAGGGTCACAGCGGCCTGGAACTGTCCCGAGAGGGAATGGGCACAAGGCAGGACACACACTGGAGTGGACACCAGTCCATCACAGGGAACACGCACGCACACACAAACCAGCGCCAGGGTCAGTTTCGCTGGAAGTCCATTAACCCACCAGCGTGTTTTTGGAGTGTGTGGGAGACCCATGTGAACATGGGGCGAACATGCAGACTAAATAAGGACCTCAGTCCAGGTCCCCAGTGCTGCAAGACGGCAGTGCTATTGCTAATCACTATGGCACTGTGCTGCCCTTGGAATGATCGAAATATTTCTCATTATTATTAACAAAATAAGAAGGGGCCTTAGATATACCACCTCCTTATTCAATTGGTAATTATCTTACTTTTTGACTGTAATTGTATTTTATATGCCCAAATTTCATCCTTGTTTAATGATAGCAGTGTTGTAGAAATTTAGCAGTACCTTTTTGTTAACATTTTGAAATTGTTATGAATGAAACTTTTCACTTTTTAAAGAATATATGATTGCCACAATTCCATAACCATTTGAGGTAAAAAAATCTCCCTTTTTTAAAATGTTTTCTGTCAGTAGTCTTCTGTTGTAGGGACAGCCTGAATAGGATCTGGACTTAGGATAGGATTCTATGGAATATATAGCCAACACTGGAATAGCTCAGCGAGGACTGTGCCTCTCCACTCTGTGAAGACTACTGCCGAGTAAGGTGATCTGTAAGACCTAGTGCATTGTGGTCCCGCAGGACCAGGACTCAACGCTCTGTAGAAAATAAGGATTATTATTAGTTTTAGTTATAGTCAGGATAGTCCACTGGTTATCAGTCCAGGTTGTGATGGAGTGCTGTATCTCCGGGAGTTCATTCATGCTTAAAACTATATGATTTACAATTATTTCTGCATGCAGAGTATTTAATATTTTCTGCACTTGCTAATGCTGATCTTGCTTCTAATGACGCAGCTCTTAGTAGGTGATCAGTTTCTAAGGAACAGTAACAAGTGGGAATGAGGAACTATCAGACACTCCCACAGTGTTTTTTTTTTCTGCTGAAGGGCAGTTGGTGTCATGTCAGCCAATGCATTCCAACGATCAGAGTCCTTAAACTCTGGATTTGGCAGAGTGTTTTTTTTTTTTCCAATTGGGAAACCCTACAAGGCGCTTTAGGAGCTGAAGGTAACTATAACAAGACACCTCAAATAGACAATTGGAATGAATGTGGTCGCAATTGAGAATGTGGCTGGAGAGAAAGCCAGAAGACACCATGGACAGTCAGGAACCAGAATCAGAATCGCTGGATTAGAACATCAGCTGTATGAGTTGGATTTCAAGCTTTATCTCTCAACACGCTGTCTAGAAGAGGCTAGACATAGCAGAATAGACACCCATATTTGGAAAAGGGTGTGCCTTTCATTGAATGCTGCAGAATACCAGTGGGGTTCATATTGTGGTGCTGTCCTTCACTTGTTTTAAAGCTTGCAGTGTGCTTGCATATTGCACCCCCAGTTCCTAGCATACGGTCTGTGTGGAGGAAGTGGGCTTGAGGGATCAGCTGAGGGGAGCTCACACACGCTCATTAAGGTTCATGTGACTGGCCAGGACGTGGAAGAGGACCACTGCGCCATTTCTGTTGGGCCAGTCGACTGACTGCACTTGACTTCCTTGGAAAAAGACGTCACTCCTTTCTTAATATATCACGATTCCCCCGGGGGGGGCTTTTGCATGTCTGTGGTGGTGAACATTTGTCTGAACGTGAGAAGCATTTCCTGAGACAGTGGTGCAGCATCTCGTGCTATCTCTGGGGACACTGTGGGGGGGAAAATACATAGCACTGTGGCCTGACCACACAACCTCACAACCTGACACAACATGATTGGGAAGAACTCAACCAGTGCGCTCTGTATCTGGTCCTGAGTAGTAACTAGTTATTTAAATAAATAGACCAAGTATCTAATTGAGAGGGCGGGTGAGACAAAGTCAGAAGACAGTAGTTTGAGACCCCTGACCTAGGTCTTCATATTAGGTATGTTACATACTGTAACTAGTTCGGAGATATACAAATGTTATGCATTTGTAGTGCATGTTCAACACAGAATGAAAGGCTTTTACCTTTGCTTTAGAGGAGACTAGTGTCATTTCACTGCAGTCATTTTTTTTAGAATTCAGAAAATGTGGGCTTTTTGTATTTTAAATCACATCAGCGAGATTAGCAGAAAAACTTGACAAATAACTAGGTTTTAACACTGGATCAGAATGTGAAATAGTTTGACAGGGTTCCGTCATAACAAGGCATGCAATAAGAATGCAGATCTGATTGTTAATTGCATTGTGTTTGGTGGCGACAGTGGGATGTCACTGGATGAATGTATCCGGATGAGGTTTTTATCTGTGCTCCTCTGTTGTGATGGCGTGCGTGATGAGTTGTTCTACTCCAGGTGTCTGTGTGGCTGCATGGAGTCATGGCAGTGTGGATGGTGACTCAGTGAGCACCACGCTGACCTAAGGTTGGAAAAGAATAATTAAGCTGCTAAACCTCATGTGAGTTATATATGGAAGAGAAGAATACAGTATTTTATATAAGTACATTGAAAAACTGTAGTGGCCAGCAAGTGGCAAAGGTAGGGTAATTGATTATAGTTTTACAAGGACATAGTAAACTACGTTTCCCAACATGCTAGTGGCAAGCCTAGTATAGCTCCTACATGCAGTATGAACCGATGCAATATTAATGTGTGTATGGAATCAAAAATGTTTCTTTAGGATGCACAGCATGTTGCTCAGCTTGGACATGAGAAAGCTTTGCGGTCTCGGAAAATGTCCGTCATCATGTTTTCTAACAGGGAAGCATTTTAATGTGTGTGGGTGGGCAGTAGCCTTACTTTCCCAGTAGAACAGATTGAAGACTTAAACTGCAGTGAGGCAGGTTACCGGACATTAGGTTATCAAAGGTACTTAAACAAGTACTTTTACATTTTCAGGATTAAAATAATTGGGAACTTCACACCTGCTTGTATTTCTAATCAAGTATACTTGCGGTGTTAAGTCACAAACCCTTAGGTGATGTTGGAACAGGTCCCCTGTACTGGGCCTGTTTCATTCTAGAAAAGCGTGATGTACAGTGTATTAAAATGACACCTAAAGAGTGAGACACATATTCAAACAAGGTTTTCAACAAACGTCCTAGACGATTTCCCATGTCCTTACCTATGTGTGTAACAAACACAATAGAAAGTTTGCTTTCTTACAGCCTAACTAAAAAGCATAAGACTGTAACACAGAAGGCATTTAAAAACCATTTTTACATGCTTTAAATGAAATATTCCCAAAGAATAGAAGAGTTTTTAAGTGCTTTGTTAAATTGAAAATCTGAGAAAATTCTTAACATTTTAAAATAGTATTTTGGCTTAAAAAGACACTCACACAATGTCAAATGCCTATGATTTGTGCTAAAAGACAACTTCTCTCGGAAGTGGTGAGCTTACTTGACGCATGTTTAAAATTGTTCCTTCATAAATTATGGATGTGTTTGTGAAATGATGCGAATCGGGGAAACCTAAGGTGGGGAGGAGGTGAACCAAGAGCCCTTTATACATCTGGCGTCGCATCATTATGCACTGAAAGAGTGAAAGAGAAGTGTCCAGGTGGCTTGTTTAGAAGGTGCCTCCAGCTGCAGTCTGTAGTGCCGGTTCGTGTCCGGCTCTGCTGCTGATCTGGAGTCTCGAGTCCTGAGACCTCTGGGTGCAGTCAAGGGGTTTCACCTTCTTACCACTGTCTGTTACTCTCCACTCATGGGGGTCCTGGACTGTGGAGGTATGAAATCATTTTCATAGAGGGAATGTCAGCGTTGGATTAACACATTAAAGATCTGACAGCACCAGCACCACTCCAACACTGCTCCCCCCAACCCCCACCCCCCCAAAATCAGATCTAGTAAAGCAGTTTGCATCATCTGCGGTGTTGTTTTCTCATGTCTGGTTTGATTTTCCTGTGTGATTGCCTGTATTCACTTATTATTTTCTGTGGTGTCTACTTAAAAATCCCAGGGCATTTCTCGAAAAGAGTAGGGGCGTAACCCCCGCGTCCTGGCCAATTTTCCCATTGGGCCTTTCCACTCATGGCCTCCTAATAATCCCCAACTCTGAATTGGCCTCATTACTCTGCTCTCCTCCCCACTGATAGCTGATGTGTGGTGAGCGTTCTGGCGCACTATGGCTGCCGTCGCATCATCCAGGTGGATACTGCACATTGGTGGTGGTGGAGGGGAGTCCCCATTACCCGTAAAGCACTTTGGGTGGAGTGTCCAGAAAAATACTATATAAGCGTTAGGAATCATTATTATTAGGAACTACTCCAGAGAGACCAGACAGCTGAAGGACTACCATGAGGAAATAAACTAAGATTAAGAAATTCCATGTTGCGCAATCTTGCAACAAATCATCATGTGGTATCGTCATCACCAAATGACCTACCGCAGCCACAGCCATGTGTGTCAATACTGCTTCTACAACAGTAGCAGATCCATTTAAGCAAAGTAGTCTAAACATGTACGTTTTATTTAAGACACTCCATTCAGCCTTTGCATGTGGTTATGTCGCCTTGGCAAAGCATTCTGGGAAGCCGAATACCCATTTACACGACAAGGCATCAATGCACATCTAACTGTTCTGAACGTAACATTGAATTGTCAAACATCAGAGAACACCATCTCTTTCTGCTTATGCAAATTCTACCAGTTTAAATTTCTCTGGTCAGTGCCTCAAGATCAAGACGCTGCCTGAGCCAAAACATATTTGGACTGCAAACTGAAACATAACAGTGTGTAGCTCACATCAAATAGCCTTCATAGGCTAGGGCTTTGACTTACATGCATTAGTCTTGGTATTCAGGAGAGATGGCGTTCTTTTTGTATTCCTGGGTCTTTATGCAGGTGTGGTTCTGCTTGTATATCAATCACAGGGTGCTGTATCAGCGTGTGACTCTGTTGTGATATACTTCATTGCAGTTTTTGTCTGTGTTTCCGTAACAATTTCCAAGATGCCTGGAATTATTTTCTACAAGAAGCCATTTATCCAGCTGTATTTATCCATGCTATTGTTTCTTCATTGCGAATATGCAGGTTAAGTTTAAAAATTAAACGTCTCTCCCGGCTGCTTGACCTGATTACTGGGGTGCCCTGGGCCTTGAGGGGGATTGTGACCCAGTGAAATGATGTTGCATTGTTTTGTTTTTTGCAAATATAACCAAAAATCTATTCCTAAAAAAGGCCTCAGGTTTCCGGATTTACCTATTTATGTTAGGCTTGCACCAGTGCTGTTATTTTCTCATCCCTCTTCAGCAAAGCCTGTTTGATCTTGCAGTTGAACCCATTTCTCCAGTCCCCCGTGACCACCGCCTGCAGCCATGACTGAGTTCTGGTTGATCTCGGCCCCTGGAGAGAAGACCTGCCAGCAGACGTGGGACAAGCTCATGGTGGCCACCACTCGGAACAACAACCTCTCTACCAACCACAAGTTCAATATTCCCGACCTGAAGGTGAGCAGCCAGCGCCGGCCCGAGAGCCTTCCTGCAGACAAAAGGCCATACGAGACGCCCTGATCCCGTGGGAGAATTGGCTATGCATGAGGAGATCGCCACAAAAGAAATCCCACTGTGGCTGGGTGACATCCATTTGTCACGGAACGTGACAACCTAAGCTTGCTTTTAAGAAGCAGTTTTAGAGGAGCGTTTCCCTCTCGTTCCAGTTTTGTATAAATGTATACTTGACTTCTGGGATGTTGCATTCTCTTTAACACTATCGAGAACATAAGAAAGATAAGACTTTGGCACAATGTGGGGAAGACCCAGTCTGGCTTGGGCGCTAGTAGCTTGTTAATCCATGGTAATCATCCAGTGTTCTCTTGGAAGGATCCTTAAGAAAATTTGCTTCCAGGAGGTAACTGGGCAGCTTGCTGCACAGCACCATGATCCTTTGTGTAAGGAAATGGGTCGTGACTCCTGACCCCAGGGTCATGGGGTTCTCTGGGCTGACTTTATCAGTTCCTGTCAAAACCTTTCAAACATGTGTTGTGTTAGATGAGTTGATCTAAAATAATAGCCATCATAATGGAAGGATTTGGCTTTTTTAGTTTCTGTTTGGCCTTTTACATGCTTGTGTGACTTTTCCCTGCAGTGTGCTGTGCAACTCTTTTTAAAAGGATTGACTGGCTTTAGCTAAGTGGGGGCTGTTCATTAGTCTGACATATGGGATCCAGGGTCATGATTCATTCAGATTGCGCTGTCAATACGCCCGGTTGTTTGCTACCAATGCATGAGTAAATTATTTATCTTTCGCAGGTGGGAACATTGGATGTCCTGGTGGGATTATCTGACGAGCTGGCCAAACTTGATTCTTTCGTGGAGAGGTAGACTTTGATCAGATCTTACTGCCTCTGTGTGCATTTTTCAATGCTTGGGTTTGTCCCATACCGTTAAAACCCTCTGCCTTGAAAAGACCTGTGTAAAATTGATTCATACAAACATTTCAAACATTTTACTACTAAAACCTTTTTACCACAGTTTTACTACAATCATTACTCTGCTGGAGGGTAATCAGAACTGTTTAATTGTGAGATCCCTTGAGATGATGCACTGAGAAATGAAAGGTGCTGCATAAAATAGCAATTACTACTGCTGTTATTACAAAAGAGGGAGGGATCCACATTCTGTTTTAACAGTAATGAGATCAGTGAAAAATACTGGACTTCCTTGAAGGTATTAATTACTGCCCATTGAAGAGCAGTGGTCTTCTAAGCTCATGTTAGGTTCTTCTTTGGCTTTTTTTTTTTTACAAGCTTCTTGAGTTACAAATAAGTATGGCAGTAGTTGTAAAACTGTTGTCTTAATGAGGTAACTGTAATGTATGCTCACTGCTTTTGAATGGCTCCTATCAAGCATGCCTTACAGCTTTGTGCATTTTTACAAACTTGATGGGATCAACCGCCAGTGCTGGCTGTGCTTGAAGAGTGCAGATCTTGCAGGAACACACAGGAAGCATGATTCAAATTTAGGCCAAAATGGTAAGGCTGTCCAAATTGCATTTCTGGTGGCAGCGCTTCACTGAACATAGTGCTGTTGGGCCAGACTTAATACTTTTGTGACTGGCTGTGCTTATAGAAACAATAATACATTGAAAGAGGTGTCCATATTCGTTTATCCAAGTGGATTAGATTATCACATACCATTTTTGGCCTCGTTTGCAGTGTTCAGTTATGCTGGTGGATTTTTTCTTTTTTTAACTCAAATGTGGAATTTCACAGAGCGGTGCAACTATTATATACCAACTGGCTAAAGTTAGCAATTTGCTGTGTGGTGACATCAGTGTTTTTTTTTCTTCCATAATATTTAGACTGATGACAAAGGGCCGTTGGAAATTTTAAAGGTCTATTTTTAACATCTGGACAACTTTATGCTCATAAATCACACTTACAGTACATCTTTTCCTCTGTGATGATACAGACTGGTAGCATGTGAAATGCCTCTCTCTCTAAGAGACCGATCAATCCCCCCTCTCCTTACTGTCCTGGCTAGAATATTTGATCAGGCCTTTTTGAAAATACACATTGTACAGAATCCTTTTGATTTATGCTTGGATTCCTTTTGACACCTTCAACATATGAAGTATCCAAGTCTTTTTAGAAGGAGGTATCAGAACAAATAAGCCTGAAGTGCCAAAAGTAGAAATCAAAGGAGGTGATTCAATGTGCCATCCATTTGGGTTTGCACTAAGGCACAGAAGATTTGGTATGTTTTTCCATTGATTGTCTTTTTATAAATTCTTCCCTAAAAATGGTCTAATATGTTTAAGACAGCTTTTTTCATCTGGGTAACCTCATGTAAATCTCAAAGCTGGGAGTGATGACTCCCCTGTGGAGTGTAGATCATCGTTAAATTATTCCGATCTCATTAAAAAAATAACTAAAGTGAGACTCTGCTCTGGACAGTGGAAACTTTGACATTGCTAGGCCATGTGTCACCAAAGGAGATAAGAAACGCTACATTTTCATGTGCATCTGTCCAAGGAATTCAGATTTCCCCAGTCATTTTTGAGCATGTTGTCCATGGGCATCTTTGCATACATTTTGGAAACAGGTTGCTTTTTTTATTGGATATTCCTTGTTCTCCATGAATACTTTCAGTACATAACAGGGATCTTGGCCTATCAGGGCAGTGTAAATGGAATTAGCTTCCTGGTTTCACTGCAGGTTAAAATAAAAAATGATTGCGTGCCAACACATTCTCTCCCCTGACATTGCTGAATCCCATCATATCCTGATGTCAGGAGCTTCAGACGTCCCAGATCCACAGGGGAGGAGGAGCAGCCATGGAGGGGCATATCTCAGTGTGGACTGTACGATGCCTCCTGTCATAGCTGTCCGAATCCTTCCTGACGGTCCTTTGGACCATCAGTGGTGGGCAGGGGGGACTGTTCTGATTTTAAAAAATTAAAACCTAAAAAAATGGTTCACAGAAAAGTGAGCAGATTCACAGTAGCTTCCAGGTTTTCTTTTTTTTTTTTGGTATCTTGCTCTCCTGGAGTACTTTCAACAATTAACGGAGATCTTGGCCTGTTGTAGTGGTGTCGTAGTGGTTTTTCGCGACCATATGAGCATGCCGCAGGGCTGGACTGTTGATACCGAAGGCCTGATGTGCCATGTCCAGCAGCTTGCACCAGAGACTACCCTGCGGAAGAAGCAAGAATTATCCAGCACACGCACAACACTGCAGACATGACCCGTGTTGCATCCGCACGGAAAGCTCTGTGAAATACAGGCGGTTTCCTAAGCTTTGGAGGAGGACCCAGGAGACGTTTTTGGTGGACAGGCACCAAAAAATCGGCAGGGAGATTCCTTTTCTCTGAAGGGGGATTTGGACTCCTTGTCAGGGTCAGGGAGACACTGGTCTCTTAGGGAGACAAACCATGGCTGCGACAGCTGTCTGTGGATACCTTTTAGTTGCGAATGATACAACCCTAAAAGTATACACTGTACACGACTTCATATTGTCAGCACAGGCATTTACAAAAACAAATCCCAGAGGGCAGCTACCCTCACGCGCACTGTGGAAGGTGGAGAAGCTTCCATCCCCTTGCCATGTCGGGTTGTCACGACGGCGGCTCTCCGCTGCAGCTCCATGACGTGAACCTCATTCAAATGCAAGAGCCTTGATCAATGGTCTCGATTGTTTCCATTCATACTTTTTGTTTTGGGGAACATGTCAAAATCCGATGCCCAGAGAAGTTCAGACAGATCGCGGAAAATGCTGAGTTGACACCCCAGGTTAGGGTTAGGGTTAGCATTCACACACTACTTAGACAATCGTTAGGTTCAGCGCTGGATTTTGGGGCCCAGGTCAGGTTTAGGGATGAGTGTTTTTTTGCTCCTTTCTGAATGTTTTTTCTCCGGAAGCTCTCTGGGGCCTGGATGGCGTAGTGCAACGCTTGGTAATTGTGTCCCTAAACTATGTAGGTCGGATCAAAATTAGTAACCAGGGATTATTGAATCTCATTCAAATGCAAGAGCTTTGATCAATGTTCTTGATTGTTTCCCATTCATACTTTTTAATTTGGGGAACATGTCAAAATCCGATGCCCAGAGAAGTTCAGATACAGACGGGGGGTCTCTAACATCCTTCCCCAGTAATGAAGGGGCCCTGCGTACGGCACCAGCCAACGAGTTATCCTTCTCCTGGTCGTGCTGATCAGACGTCGATTTTTTTTTTCCCCACCCATCTCCAGCGTGGTGAAGAAGGTGGCTCAGTATATGGCTGACGTGCTGGAGGACAGTCGAGACAAAGTACAGGAGAACCTGCTGGCCAGTGGAGGTAGGACTCTCAGCGCTGCCCGTTACTGAGGGCACTTCGGTGACGGTGAAGGCGTGGTAACCGCGCTGGCCTTGTTTTCAAAATTCCTGTGTCGAGAGCTCATGCAAGCAGAGGTCTGGAGTAGATGACATAACGCTGCAACAGAATACGCTCCAATAAGGAGGCAATTCAGTCAGTGTTGCTTGTTTGGCTCTATGTAGCAAATGATCCGAGCGTCTTTCCCTGCATGACTGCTGTGTGCGCTTTCACAGGAGCTTCACTGTGATGCTACCAGTTCACCGGTACTGCAAGTGAGATCTTCATGGTCAACTCCTAGAATCGAGTACTAGGGAAATGCATCTTGAAAGCATTGGCTAAAAGTGATAAAACCTTTCATTTTCCCCCCTAGTGGATTTGGTCACTTACATCACAAGGTTCCAGTGGGACATGGCGAAGTACCCCATTAAACAGTCACTGAAAAACATTTCGGAAATCATCTCCAAGGTGAGTCTGGCTGTATAAAGCAGCCTGGTGGTGGCGGTTTTGGTAAAGAGGTTGACTCTGGATATTATTGCTTCATGTTTTCTCATGTCGGTCCTATGCTCTTCTTGTGCTCTGCAGCAAGTAACACAGATTGACAATGATTTGAAGTCAAGAGCATCGGCCTACAATAGCCTGAAGGGGAATCTGCAGAACCTGGAGAGAAAGAATGCGTGAGTACCTCAGGGTGGGCTCTTGTGACCCGAGCAGAAAGCTGCACACTGCTCACCCCCAACACTGATCGCATCAACGTCGCCCCCCACTGGTCATAGACAGGCATTAACTCCTGTATACTTGACTCTCTCTCTCCCACCACTGAACACAGACAGGTGTTAACTCCTGTATACTCGACTCTCTCTCTCCCACCACTGAACACAGACAGGTGTTAACT